ATGATGATGATGAAATTAATTTTAATAAAGTTGAAAAACTAATACAAATAGAAAATGGCAAACAAAACATCTAACGAAGACGTGTATAACGTCGCTAGCGTCGGGCAGGCAGCGTGGGCGACGCAAGGATGAGTACTACGATGCAAAGCATGCGATAAAAAATAAATAGAAAAACCAAATAGAAAAAACAAACCAAAAAATTCTTACCGAAATTGGATGCAGTGCGATTGTAGGCTTTGGTGTGAAAATATGTGCAAGAAGCAGCATTTTTTGTTGAAACGAAAAAACGTTTAGCAAAAGAGATATTCTTTAACTGTGATAATAAATTTTATGTGTTAATATGAAGACCAAAAACACTGTGTATTTTATTAATAATAATTGAAGAAGAAGAAATATGTTAAATAAATTTTAAGTGTATAAATAAAATGTGCACATTTACCCCTGCCGTAAATTGAACATATGTGTGCAATATAAGATTTTTCCTCACTGAAGAAAAAGTTAAACTGACCAAAATAATGTAAGCCAAAACCATAAGTTAATATAATTTTTAGTGCTTTAGTCGTTAACCGAAACACCAATTTACCCAAAATTTACCAAAGTAGTTGTTAGTGTAATTAAGTAACTTAACGAATAAAAATTTAGGGAATTCTAGTCACAAAGAAAAAAAAAATTGTAGCGAAAAAGCCTTGTTTAGATAAAAAAAACTCAAACGCGTTAACATTTAAATAGATACATATACATATATATTTAATAATAAAAATGTGCTGTTTTGCATATTTATATAACAAATCAAATATTTGTAGTAACATATAACAAAAAAAAAGAAGAAAAAAAAATCATAAATAAATAAAAAAAATATACATAAAAAAATTGGAATACATAAGTAAATACTGCGAAATGTTAAAGTAAATAAATTAGCTTTGTTCATTGTGTGCATTTTTTTTTTGTTGTAAATGTTTTGTTTGCTAACAGCACGCAAACAAGACATAAAAAATATAAATAAAAAGGCGTTTGTGGTCAAGTGTTAAATCAGAAAATCAGTTAAAGCGAATAAACAATAAAAAATTGATGACGTTTTGTGTGGATACGTACAATACCGTATTTATGTCATAAATAGAAAATAATAAAAAAAAGCCAATACATAACAAAAAAGCACAAAAACAAAAAAACGCAATAACAACTACAACACAACGACAATTAGAGCAAAGGAAAAGAAAACAATAAAACACCGCTTTGATGTCAAAAAAAAACAACAACGACAACAGTAACAACATTGTCGTGAGATTAGCTACAAACTGTCAAAAATTCAAGAGACTCAAATGTCAACGACAAATGACAGCTTCATATAAATTGGCATATAAATTAAGAGCGTAAATACAAATTAATTGAGGAGCGTAAAATGTGTAAAAGCTTAAATAAAAGAGCAAAGGATTAATATTTATTTTCTGTGTTAGAAGTGGTATAAAATAATTTATGTAAAATTTTAACATGTATGAAAATAAGCTTTAAATGACATATAATAACAGCGGTAAAAAGCTCTAATAAGCTTTAATTGTGAGCTCACTAACTTTAAAAGTTATATTGGTGCTAAAATTAACTAAATTGTTCGAGCAAAAGCTATGCATAGTGAAAGCTTTAAAAAAGTTAAATACATATAAGCAATAAATGTTGAAGCAACATGTCTCAGCAACTTTAAAACTTTAAGAAATATTAATTATATATACATATAAATTCATATTTAAAAAAAAAAAATAAAATAAATATATAAGTTGAATATTTTTAATAATATATATATGCCATAAAATTATATATAAATTATATTAAAAATTTAATTATATTTAAATAAAAAAAATATTTAAATAAAAAAATATATAATATATATTTTAATTCAGACAATTAATGAATTCATTATTCAATTCTTATTAATGAATATTAAACATTAAAATGAAATAACTAAAATTTTTAAAATTTATAATTATTATAAAATATCGAAAAAAAACACATATATATAAAGGTATTTATAAATAAAAAAAAATTTATTTAAATAAATATTAATTAAAAGAGTGCAATTTAAAATAAAAATAATCACATTATTTACATAACATGAAAAATTTTTGACATAAATATTAATTAAAAAACTAAAATTATATGAACACAAATAGGTCTTTATTGCTAGAACTTATTATAATTACAATTTAAATATATATATTTAAAAAAAATATATAATAATGTAGTAAAATAAATTTAATATGAAATATGTTTTAGTATATTGTAATAGTTGGAATTGAAAAGAAAAGGTAATTTTTTACTATAAAATATAAAAGGATCTAAGATATAGAAAAAGTATTTTAATAAATTTTTATAAACTCAAATAAAAACATTAATAAACGAAGTAATTATAAAGGACTGAAATTTAATATATTAAAACTAACAACAAAAAATTAAACACATTTTTAAATTATATACAATATAATAAAAATAAAACAAAAGTTTTAATTAAAAATGAAAAATATTTTCTAAAGTAGAAATAAATTTATATTATATGAAAAATAATTAAATTTACATAATACATTCTAAATCATAATTTAATTAAAAACAAACAAATTATAAACAAATCAATTTTAAAATAAAACTGAAATATTTTAAAACAAATTTTGATAAATTAAAAAAAAACTGCAATATAAATAAATAATAACAATTAATATATATATGCAATAGAAGAAATCAACTTAACACAAACATATTATAAATAACTGAAATATAATAACATATAAATATATTTTTAACTAATAAAGTTTTTGTTTACAAGATAATACAATTCAATAGAATATAATAACAAAAAAGGAAATAAAATAAAATTTAATAACACATAATAAAACAAGATAAAAATAATATAATAAAATTCAATAAAATAAATAAATAAATAAAATTAATAAAATAATATAAAACATAATAAAATTAAAAAAAAAATTAAATAAAATAGAATAAAATAAAATAAAAAAAAAATAGAATGAAATAAAATAAAATAAAATAAAAGATAAAAAAATTCAATAAAATATAATAAAATAAAAAAGTAATATAAATAAGTCAAATCAAATAAAATATAATAAAACAAAATAAATAAAAAATAAAATAAAACAAAATTAAATAAAACTCAATAAAATTGAATAGTCCCATAAAATGAATGAAATAAAATAATAGAAAATAAATATATAAAATTTATAAGTACATAACATATATTCAGACAAACAGATAACAAAATAAATTTAAAATTATTATTTATAACATAGTATTAAAAAATAATTTAATATATTTATAATAGTATTAATATATATATATAAATAAATAAATAAAACTATAAATAAAAATAAATCAAATAATAAATGCAACTAAAACAAAAAATACATAGCTTAAACGAAAATAAATATACGAAGTGCATAAAAAAAATCTTTACAAATACCAAAAATTCATTAAAACTAACTAAAATAAATTAAAATTAAATAAATACACTATAAAAATCCACTATTATAAACGTTAAGCCCACCTTTTTGCTATTACTATTAACTCTATATATAATCGACTTCAAGACCTAATTATAAATAATATTAAGTAGTGCCATACCCACTAAAAAAGTACATATAAAAATGTCCAATATTCCCGACGACGCCAGCAGTATGAGTGATGATGTATTCGAAGATGTCGAAACCACCGCAAAACGTATAGAAGAAACACGCCGACGTACTGAACAAGCCAATATCGAATTTAATTTATCTCGTGATAATTATGCGGAAGGTCAAGCAGCAACTGACACCTACCATTCAGCTCATCAAAATGTACATAGTAGTAATTATGGCAGCAATCGAATAACAAATACTGCAACGAGCCATCATCATCATCAACATCAACATCATCCGCATCAACATCATCATCATCACTCTCAACATCGCTCCACAACGTCTAGTGGTTATCCAGGTTATCGCCCACCGCGCGAAGCTTTGCAAATGTATGCCTTCGAGGATGGTGACGACTACGATGATGGTTGGCGTTCTTATCGTTACGACGAAGTTGACATGTACCCACAACCGCAACAGCAACCCTTTGATGATACCATCAACCATAAGGTAGCAGGAAGTAAATTGAAATAGTTTTTGATATAATATCCCTTACTCTTCCTTTCTACTTTTGCGGCATACTCGATTAGACAATATTACTTGGAGATTCCGGTGTCGGTAAAACCTCTTTTCTAGTTAAATATAATACGGGAGAATTTCGTTTGGGTTCATTTTCCGCAACTGTTGGTATTGCACTGACGGTAAGTGCTATAATTAAGTTTATTTATTACAAATAAAATGCAACATTGTTTGAATGAAAAAGTATCAAAAATTAGAAATTTGAAAGAAATAAAATAATTTATAAATACAGGAAATTTATATGTTATTAATAAATTGAAGATTTATATATATAAAATATTTAAAACAATTTAATAAACAACAACCAAACTACAAGGTAACGCAATATAACAATAAAGTGCAGACTTACTGCACTAAAAAAAACGGAATAAATTCATAACAACATCGCAAAATGAAAAAGTAGGTGTGGAGTTGGCGGCAATTTTTAGTTTAGTTCAGTGACGAAAGTAGTTAAATAGCTAACACATCCATCAGTTCAAAAAATAACCCCTTAAACTGTAAATATCTAAAATAATAATAAATATACTACAAGTCAGAAAAATATTATTTATCTTGTATCAACATCATTGATTAAAGTCAGTAAATCAGTCAGTCAGATATTAAAAATTATATATTTTTTATTAAGTAATCCTAATGTATTTTTTTACATTTAAATTATTAATATAATTGTATTTCGACAATTTAAAAATTGGGTCTAAAATTGCAATAAGGACAATAATTCAGACTGCTGAAGCTTTTACACCTAAAATTTATATTCGAGTCCCAACTTGAGGGAAGTTGTTCATTTCTGTTTTCCTTTACCTTTAGTTTCGGTTTTTTTTATTAAAATTAAACAAACTATTATTTATTTTTTAATTAATTGTAATTATTAATTCAACAACTTATTATTAAAATTATAATATCAAAAACTAACATTGATTTCTAGTTTTGTGCATATATACTGACAAACAATGTAAAAGAAATAAGAGTAGACCATGTATCGGTAAGGATAAGAATAAGTTGTCAATTAACCTTAAAAGTAACAGGCATTGTCTTTGATTACCCAACTGTGTTGAATTCACATAAACACTAAACGAAACTCATTCACTTCACTCACTCATGCAGTGAGTACTCATGTTTACTCGAAACTCTTTCACTTTACAGTTAGTACTCAAAAATATTTGAAAATATTATATACATAGGTTAGGTTACTCATTTGGACCATGAAGTCCATTGTGATACCCTAAGAATTTGACACCTGTCCCTATAACCACTTGGTATTGGCTACAAGGCCATTGACACGAGCTATGGAAATAGAATCTAGCTCTCTTAGTGAATAGAAAAAGTGCGACCCTAAGTAGGATAGTCTATGTCTTGCGAAGGCTGGATTATATACATATATTACATTAAAATAAACAACAGTCAAAGTCATTTATTTTATTATTTAGTACAATTAGCTCACACTTTGATTGTTGTTTATTTTAATGTTTGCAATATTTTCCAGTAAAGATAAGTACTAACTGGATACATAAGTGAAGGAAATGAGCTTAGTTTAGGGTTGATGTGAACTTAACATGATTGGGATTACTTTTTTCGGAATAGACGGCAAATAATTACGAGATAATTTCACTAAAAACCAAAATACAAAAATTATACCGTCAAAAAGACAGTAAATAACTTCTAAAAATAAAGACCAAAATTTCATCAAAAGATTTCTGTGGATACCTATGATCGGCATAGGCATAGGACCCGAAGATAGATGGAGAAAAAGAAATTAAAAAAAGGAAACGCTTAAAGGTTTTAGAGTAAATTGATTTTAAAGGTTCGAACAAACTAAATTCTTAGTATAAACTATAGAGTGTTTCAATAGAGTGTTTTTAATTGAACAGTAGTGAATTGCAACAACAAAAGTTTTTATTATTTTTAATTAATTGAATTTTTCGCTGACCATACAGCTGTTTCGAGTATTATCATTGATGATGGATATTTGTCAATACTCGAAAGAGTGTTCAGCCAAAAATTCAATTAATTAAAAATTATAAAAAATTTTGTTGTTACAATTCATTCCTGTTAAATATTTTATTTAAATAAATTTATTTATTTATTTATATTTTATATAATTGCAATATCAATTAACATTACTTTACTATTACCAGAATATTTGCAGTATTTAACCCTTTTTAAATACGAAATTTTACACAAAAAACCCTTATATCCTTATAAAGGACAAATTAATAAAGCTAATAATAATGCACATAACATAAACATTTTAGTTTAATCAATTTAATTTAGGAACATAAATTAATTCTAAATTTCATCTGAAAATATCAGAATTTAAATCTACATTTATATATTTATTACAAATCAATAATTTAATTTACTTTAAATGATTAAATTGAGGTCGAAAATCCTAATTGGATTTGAAAGTTTGTGATATCATTCAGTTAATTCCTAGAAAAATGCGAATTTGAATTTGAATTATTGTTTCTGCATAGTTTCGAATTAAAAGATATTTAAACTTTCAACCGGAAACTATTTTAAAATTCCTTTGAATAGTAAATATAAATTTAAGCATATTAAAATGAATTAATATGTAATATAAGTAAACTCATAGGCGGCCACAAGTTAGGGGTCTCAATTTAACATTTTTCCTTATATGAAAAAAAACACAAGAACTCCATAGATAGAAGAATATAGACTAAATGCATGCCGTCGAATTTAGATAATTAAGCAGGTCTTTCGCCTTTACCGATGAACAGTCTGATAAGCTGGCAAAAAATACCTTCCTAAAAACCTATTTCTTCTGAACGCAATATTCGAGCATTCACAGAGAGTGTTTAATGGCTTTTTTTCTACAAGTTTCCACAATTTCTTCAGTAAGGATTACTATACATCAATGACCAGCAAGAACTGCAGTTTTCACACTGAATTCGGTAACATTACATTTGTCCTTAATGTGACTTGCAATTTGCCATTATGTTCCCTAAAAATACAGCCTGAAAAACCGCGGCCTCATTAGGTAGCTTAAGAGAACTGTTTATGACTGCAGATATCGTGAAGATTCTTACACCTACCCCGTAGTTTATTTTCGAGCTATTCATATAGATTGAGATATCGTCATTTGCATTAAATTTTCTTCTTTTCCATTTGCTTCTTGAATGGAACATTGTCTGAAAATTTCTTTCAATACCTAAGCATGAATTGAAATCCAGATCCAAAATATTGTTATGTCTACTTTCACTACAGTCTACCATCTACAGTGTTTAGAATTCATATACCCTCAAATAAAATAGTATTTTGGATACACTTTTAGCAACGAAGATAAAATGACAATTTGTTTTATTTCAATGGAAGTAGCTTAGAATTTATAATCGATTCGGAGCCGTTGAGATATTACTGTGGATACACTTTTAAAGAAGAAGACACCACATAAATTCGTTTTATTTAAATTCAAATAGTCCAGAATCAATCCGGTATAAGCTAAGTTTTTCAGTGCTTTAATACTATTAATTTTAACATAGCCAGAAAATCAACACCCAGTTACTGCATAGGATTACCCATCAGACGATAGGATTGTCCATCAGAAAGTCTTGTAAAGAGCTTTCAGGAAAACAATATTTTGATTCCTGTACTCTAAGTAATAATAAGGTCTCCTTTAAACTTTCGGGAATGTTAAAACATTCGTAAACCCTAAACAAAGTGAAGGATTACTGTGATTAAAAGACTATGTGCCAAATACCCAATGCGAACTTAATTCTCATATTGGAGGGAATCAACTCCTGTCCCAACTGCTTAATTGATTGATTCATCATATATTAAAGTATTATATGAAAAGTTTTAGAACAAATCTGTTCTCAATTTTTTCGAGATCTGAAGAGGCAAGTCACTTTTTGTGATATCCGTGCGGTGAGATAACTTTAGGTTCGAAATAAAGTGCGTAATTCTGTTAATACGTAACAGATTAAATCAAAAATTTCTATATTCATACAATCAAATTATTTCAAATGTCTATACCAGAAACTAGTCTACAGATGAAATTCTGACTATTAAAATTTTCATGCATTTCGATATTGGTACTCGTACAACCAAGCTGCACTACATTCTGCATAATGGGTCTCACTACAGATTAGAACAGAAATATGGGTAGATAACTCTTATAGCCGTAGATGCATATCTTTAACGTTCAATACTTTTTATTATGGTCATTTCTTTAAATAAAAAAGATGAAGATCGAGTCTCACTACCGATTAAACATAAATGTGGATAGGTAATTGTCGCGGGTATACTATATAAGAAAGTCTTTAAAATTTATTACCACTTTATTGTGCGATATTACATCAAATAACAAAAGCGTAAATTACAGAAAATCCTTAATAGGATCTTCTAGCTTACATCATGATTTCCACCGTAGAAACTTTATAGATCTAAAAAGTACGAGGTAGTTTTGTTAAAGATATATATACAAATATATACAAATATTTAACTTTATTGAAACACTTCATAATCGTGTCTCCTATCCGCAGGAATGCATTATTTAGCTTACACATTTTTTTGAACAAGCACAATCATAATCTGCTTTAAGTTAAAAGTTAGTTCATCCTAATTTTTCTGTTAAAAAAACCTTTTGTAAAGCTATCTGCACTATATCAGTGATATAGACAATACATTTCTCTGTAAATATGATATTAATTAATTTCATTATAGCTACATTGCTCCGGTATAACTACTAAATCATCAATAACCTTCGATTTAAGCAATTGTTGGGAAAGCTATCTGAAGATCAAACCCATACAACGCAATGTCGACGTTTGTAATGTCAAGCGTTGTATGTATATATATACTAATTGTATTCTATATCACATATTATCCATTCAAGCTATAAATTTTTAAATATTTATCAATATTCAATACAAATTTTTTATTATTTATATTATCTAAAATGCTATAATACCGAATGTAGCGCTTACCTAAACAAACGATACCATTCATAAGTAATTTCCAGTAATTATGTAGTGAAGCATTAAGCAACCTTGGTCACTGACCATGGTTCCCTTATCGCTCATGTGTATGTTAATGATCATGTGTTGGTCGGGTGCGTGTTTGTGTGTATATGCGTATATGCGTGTATGTACGACTGCGTGTGAGTGTTCGTTTATGAGTTACAAAGTAGAGCAATGAATGCATCGACTCAATGGCGCAAATTGATTTCAGTATTTTGGGCAATGTCAATGCCAATGACGTTTCGAATGCAATGCCTTTGAATTGCGGCTGAAACAGAGTCAATGTCTGCTTTTGTTCAAAGGAATCTGTATAGGTATATCTATGTGTGCTGTATGTCTGAATGCGTATTTGTATTCTATGAATTGCCTATGCAATTGATGGTCTGTATGTGAGTGCGCCTGAAATTTGGTTTTGATGCACATTAAATGCGCATAAGCCGAGTTAATTAATGGCTATTTGGAGTTGACTCAATTAATTAGTAGGAAAATCGAAATCGAAAATAGCGAGTTTTCAATTTGAAGGATTTTGTTGACTTATTGGCATGAATATATTTAATTTTAAAATTAGCAAATTATAAAATTTCTACAACTGAAGTAACTTTTGGATTTACACATAAGCATAATTTCATTTAATTTACATTTAATTTAATGTTCAATTAAAATAATGTGCCTATATTGATACGTTACTGCATTAATTTCTTTATTATTTTTATTAATAAGGAAGGCCTTATGGTCTCCCTCAAAGAAAAGGCTACAGTAACGCTGCCTGAGCCTAGGTGCAAAAGCGTAGACACACATCAAATCAGACAAAAATATGTCAGAATTAGGAAGTAGTCATTGGAATAAATTGTCTATAATAAATATATAATATCTCAAGTTGTCTAAATAGTACTAAATATCTAAATACAAAGGGGTGCACAATAGATCAAGCTATTCGCAATGCAAAAAGGCCTTAGCCTAACCCATAAACCATTATATAACATCTCAAGTGGTAAGGTTTACGAATTCTCACGTATGTTATAATTATTGTAGTTCATATATTATAAGTCTATTATCATGGAACTGAAATGCTGAAAACCCAAAAAAAATGATAGGTGGTAACAAAATATTCGTCATAAATGAGTTTTTTCATAATGAATGGTTGTTATTCATTTGCAAATGCAAACGTTGTATTATAGGATATATACATAATATTTCTCAATATAGCCCACATAATTCCATTACCATTGCTAGTGTAAACCCAATAGGAATACTGAGTGGTTGACAGATGGTAGTCATGGACAAGTGTCTTCATAGATAGTTTTCATTCATTTGTATAATGCAAATTGCTGATTATAAGATATGTACCTAATATTTCTCAACACAATCCATATAATTCCATCAACCTTATTGGTGAAAGTCCAATAGGAATGTTAAGTAGTATATTACGGGAAATATACCTAATTTTTCTCAATAAAACTCACATAATTTCATCGCCATTGCTAGTGCAAACCCAATAGGAATACTGAGTGGTTGACAGATGGTGTGTCTTCCTAAATAGTTTTCATTCATTTGTAAAAGCAAATTGCTAATTATAATCTTATAACTATAAGAAATGTACCTAATATTTCTCAATACAGTTGATATAA